TTTTTTTTTTTTTTTTTTTAATGACAAAACAGATTCATCCTCAAACAGAAGATACAGGAGTTACAGATAAGCACAAGTTGTAAAAATGGACAAGTCCACCCTGGTAGTCTCCATAACCAAGGCCTCATCTTTTTTTTTTTTTTTTAAGATTTTTTTAAAGATTTTTAAGATTTTTTAAGATTTTTTTTTAAGATTATTTATTTGACAGAGAGAGACAGCGAGAGAGGGAACACGAGCAGGGGGAGTGGGAGAGGGAGAAGCAGGCTCCCCGCGGAGCAGGGAGCCCGATGCGGGGCTCGATCCCAGGACCCTGGGACCACGACCCGAGCCGGAGGCAGACGCCCAACGACTGGGCCGCCCGGGCGCCCCGCCAAGGCCTCGTCTCATGATGGCTCACCTTGGATACTGGTGGCAAAGTCTCCCCGTCCCTGGTTCTCACTCTTCCCGCCAATAAAAAGAGATTCCTGCCTCCTTCCTACAATGACTGACGAGTCAAGCTCTGGTGAGCGAATGAGACCTGAGAAGAGCACCTGTGTGGCCTTTTGATGACTGACCTAGCACCTCCCGGGGCCCAAGGGGGGGCTTCCCCCGGGGGTTCTTACCCACCTGGTCAGGATGTCCCCTGGGGTCATCTCTTTATCTGGCCAGATATATTTGATGATAATGATGGCAGTGACGTACCAGGTGCCCACGACGCTCAAGAAGCTGCCAGAAAGAATGGACTGAGCTTCCTCTTCCCCAGCCCCAGCTGCCCTCTCTCTGCTTCCACCCCAGGGAGTACCCATCCTCAGCTCTCGTGACCACAGTGTCTACTGAATGAATTGGGAGACTATTCCAAACAAAGATGAAAACGATGCACAAGAAATAAGTTTTAGAGGAGTGCCTGGCTGGCTCAGTCAGAAGAGCATACGGCTCTTGATCCTGGGGTCATGAGTTTGAGCTCCATGTTGGGTGTAGAAATAAACTTAAAAAAAAAAAAGAAGTAAGTTTTAGAGAAACTGGTCACAGCCTGGAGGCAGCTGGACCCAAGAGGGGGCAAGACTGACATTTCTGACCATTAGGAAAGGCACTGGTTCAGCTCCATGGCTCAGAGGTCTGGGCTTGAAAGCACATCTGTTAACTTCCATCAGTGCAGCCCCCACTTGGTGACAGCTGCGAATAGGGCCCTTGAGAACTAGGAGACGCTGGAGGGTAAAGGGCTGGGATGTCAACATGAAAGGGGAACTTGGAGACAGCTGAGTGCGACCCTGTCAATTGCGGATCGCAGGAAACAGCTCAGAATCACACAGCTTTTCAGACCCTGAGCCAGGAAGCCAGTCCTCTCCCCTCATACCAAGCTGCATGGAACAAAGGGCCAGGCTTGACAATTCTAAATGATCAAAAATCCACTCTCCCTGGGAAAACCATAGCCCTGGCCAGGAAGCTGCCTTCACACTCCTCATTATCACCAGTCCCTTCTTCGACAAGGACATTTAGAATGCAGTCTCTCACTGATGCAAAAGGCCACTGTCTTCCTTGTTGCTGACACAAAAGGACACCTTAGGCTGGAAGCCTTGCAAGCCCTGGCCCACCCTGCCTTGCCTGCTCTTGCTGCCCCAGAAGGAGAGGGCTTCGCCAGCAGCACCTGGGTCTCTAGCTGCCTGTGATTAGAGCTTCCGCCTGGCCTGGGCTGGGGTGGGGCCTCCAAACCTGGCGTATTTCTGGAAGCCGATCTCTCTGGGGATGGAAAGGGGCAGGATGAAGAGGAAGGCCGTGAGGCTGATGGTGAACTTTCGGTCTGTGTACCAGAGGCTGCTGCCGGCCCCCTCAGGCTCCTTCGCCATCACAGCTATAACTGCACAGGAAGGAAGGAGGGAACGTCACGCCAGGCCCCTGCAGACTGCAGCCCTCCTGCTCCGGTGAGCCTCAGGACCTTCATCAGTGTAATGGGCTCAGCAGCCAGGAGGGAGGATTTGCAGAAGAATGCCAGACCCAGGCTAGGCCCCGGGGCAGGTGTTTGTGCCTGTTCCCTCTTGCGGGGACCCCCAGGGCCGAGCGGGAGGGACGAAGGATGTCTGGAGGGGGAGACTCACTCTTGTCTTGTTGGTCGCCAATGATGATGAGGAAGGCGATGCAGGTGCCGAAGGTGTAGATGGCAATGGTCACCTCACAAAGCACTCCCGTCAGCTTGCCACAGACGGCCCACACCACCTCCTGGTAGGTCCTCTCATTGCTGGCCTGGGAGCAGTAGCCCAGGATGACGAGGCCGCTGATGATGAAGACCAGCATGCCCTGGAGGCAGGACAGAGCCAGAGGGTGGGGGAAGGCCTGGCAGCAAAGGACAGCCTGGCCTTGCTCAGCATTTACTAGGCCAATGCCCGAAGCCAGTTTGTTAAATGAGTTTTTTTTTTTTTTTTTAATTTTTATTTAAAAAGAGAGCACGAGAAGGAAGAGGGTCCGAGGGAGAAGCAGACTCCCCACTGAGCGGGGAGCCCGATGCGGGACTTGATTCCAGGACTCGATCCCGGGACTCCAGGATCATGACCCGAGACGAAGGCAGTCGCTTAACCGACTGAGCCACCCAGGCGCCCTGTTAAATGAGTTTCATCTTGTGGGCAACTTTACCAGATTGCTGGAGGCTGCCGAGTTGAGGTTTTCTCTCAAAACAGAAGTTTTGTGGAGAATTTTAAACATACACAAGAGTGGAGCGGATGGTATCATGAACCCCCATTCACCCAACACTCAGCTTCAAAAATAATCAATTCGTGGCCCATCTTGTTTCTGCTACTGCCCCCCCGCCCCGCCCCTGAATTATGTGGAGGGAAATAGAGGTTACCAAATTATTTCACCAGTAAATAATTCAGCATGTCGTTCTAAAAGATAAGGGCCCACTATTTAAACATACACTACACAATTATTCATTCTGCAGCTGATGTCCAAACTTCACTGATTGCTGGGAAGCACTCTGAAGCCTCATCTGGGCTCAGAGGAGAGAATGCTGGAATAGATTAGTAATGTCTGCCAAGTGTGAGGACGGGGAGAGTGGCCGCACGTGTCACGCAATGACTATCCCAGATGCAAAATCTCTCTTCTGGGGGAAAGAGCCCAGACCCAGCACCCGAAGTGCATTTTTGTCCTAGCGGCTAGCACACTCACCATCTGCAGCGTGACGCCGGCCGCCAGCCCGCCTGCGGTGCTGAAGGCTGCAGGGAAGTTGAGCAGCCCTGCACCTAGGCAGGCGTTGACGACGATGAAGATGGCCCCAATGGTGGAAGTGGTGCCTCTGCCTGGACCCTCAGGAGAGGCCTCCCCTTCGCTCTTGGGGGCTGTGTCCACACAGGGACTCTGCAGCAGACGGGCCCGCTCCCCGGAGTCTGAGCTCGAGCCCCACTCGCCAAGGTCACTGTTGATGCTGACCTCGGCCATGGCCCCGGGAGCCCTCTTCCCGCAGGATCTGCAGATTCGGGCTCACAATCACATCCCCTGGGCAGATGAGGGAACACCTTCAGCTGGAGGGCGGTACCAGCCTGTTTGGAACTATGATCCCAGGAGGCCCGTGGGCTCCAGCTCTTCTCAACCTAGATGTTAGAGACAGGTACTACTGTTACCCTGGGATGGGCACAGAAAGCTGAAACAACATTCTGAAGGTCAGATGGCAGAGACTCAAACCCAGGGGTGCCTCTGTGCAGAACATGGTGATGGGTGCCACAGTGCAGGGTGGCAGAGACAGAAAGACATCTGATGCAAATCCTGCTTGCTTCAGGCTTACAGACCCTTGGGGTCAATAAGACATAAATATAAAACAGAGGAGTACTAACACAACGGCACTACAGAGAGGCTCCACGTTGGGCAGGAATATCATGGACATATCTCATTCAGTCCTTACCACAGTGGTCATAAGGTTCAGAAAGATCGTATCACTGACCCAGGGTCACATATCAGCAAGAGAGGATTTGGATCTAAATCTATCTGGCTTCCCAGCCTGTTTCTGTACCAGAGTTGCAAGAGCAGCCCTCACCTAGAACTGGGGGTATTTCAATGTATTACAGTCCCACATATCTCCCTCTGGCCCAGGGTCTAAATTCTGCGTAGCTTTCAAAGCCTTTCAAAATTCAAGGCTAATTAATTCTCACTCTTCTCCTGGGCAACTGACCTAACCACGCCCATCAGAGAGGCATCCCTCTGATGCCCTCAGTACACTGGGGGGTTTAGAATGGCTAATGAGACCCCCTAGGTAGTCAGATGCTTCTCATTTCTCCTCCTGGTGATGGCTGAACAAAGGTGGGAATCGTACACTCCTTAGAGGTTAAAGGAAGAATGTGGATGCTCTCAGACAACTGTCACCAAGCACACAACCCAGCTCCAGAGGAAATCTCTCTCTGCCGGCTTCAAGTCCAGAAAGACCAGTCAAATGCCACAGGGCTTCCTCTTATGCAACCTGTTACCCAACCAGTAACTCAGCAAAAAATCAAAGCTGTGAGTAGTGAAGGTAGAGTTTGGGGCTCCCAGCTTTCCAGCATAGCTCGAGAGAGAGCTGTGTGAAGTCAGCACTCCCAGAGCTGTGAGACCTCCTCATCCACCCTGCTTCCGTCTCAGACACAAAGGTCTCTGCGCTGGTCCAAGAGTTCTCAGCTCTCCTTCCCAGAAAAGTCCTCAGCTCCACAACCCCCAGCTTACCTGCTATTTCCACCTGACGGTCTAAGGTGGAGGGTATGCTGCTCCTTCAGCTCTTTCTTCCCCAAAGATCTGGGATCTGATTTTCCTCACTTCCCTCGCTGGCCCCAATTTCTTCTTTCTCAAAACTTCACCTAAAATCTGCTGTCAGCAGAGAGAAGAGTTTGAGCTGTTTCTGCATTGGTCAGCAGAGTGAAGGGAACTGAGAAGCTCTGACACCAGATCAATCTGGGGAACAGGCCCAGGGAAGGGAAAAGGCTAGAGTAATGTCACAGCAGGTAGTTGGCAAAATCAGAACTACAAGCCTGACGTCCACAGGCTCAGGCCAGAGCTGTAACCACTGCCGCGGGCCCCCTCACATTCCAATCGGAGCGGGTTCCCAGTCCAGCCTGGGGCTGGATCCCAGAAATACGCAGGGTGGGTTGCATTGGGAAGTGGGCCAGGGCGCACCCGGAGCGGAGGGGAGGATCCCAGGCCCGAAGCAAGGCGAAGGGGCTGCTGTGAGGTAAGCTAGGGAGACGCTCCGGGACTCGATCCGGGCCTAGCACCAAGGGGAGACAGTGGGGCTAGGCGGGGCAAAGCCGGCCCAACTGAGGGCGGGCGGGGGACCGAGGACGCCGGGCTTCCGAGCCCTGCAGGGAGTGGGCAGGACTCTGCCGCAGCGGGGGCCCCAGGGCCCCGGGACTTAAGCTTCCACCCTCCACAGCCTCCACCTCCCACCACCTACCTACAGTGCTTCACACCCAAGCCGGCTGCAAGGACACGTGAGCCGCGGTCACATGACCGCCGGGGCTCCGGCGGGCCGCGGGAGGCGCTGGGAGTTGTAGTTTTCCGCAGGCTTTGGTCTTGGAGGGCAACAGCTCCCTGAATCCTCAACCCTACAACATTGACCCGAGACCCTCTCCGGGCCAGCTCACCATGCTTAACCTGTTAGTTTTAATCCTGGGTGGCTCAGTGGTTAAGCATCTGCCTTCGGCTGGGGTCATGATCCCAGGGTCCTGTGTCCGATTCCTGCGTCAGGCTCCCTGCGCTACCAGGAGACTCCTTCTCCCTCTGCCCCTCCTTCCACTTGTTCTCTCTCTCTCTAATAATAAATAAAATCTTTAACAAATTAAAAAAAGATTTATTTATTTATTTATTTCAGAGAGAGAGACAGAAAGTGAGCCCCAGGGGAGAAGTGTGGGGGGAGCCCCATATGGGGCTTGATCCTAAGACCCTGAGATCATGACCTGAGCCAAAATCAAGAGTTGTATACTTAACCAACTCAGCCACCCAGGAATTTGCCCCCAAATTCCCTTTTAAAGTGTCCAGTATAGTGGTTTTTAGTATATTCAGAGTTTTGCAGCCTGCCTAATTTCAGAACACTGCTGTCACTCTTCCTAAAACTCCGGAACCGTGAGTCTCCACTCCTTTCTCTAAGCCCCTGGAAACTACTAATCTACTGTGTTTCTATGGAGTTGCCCATTCTTGACATTTCATAAAAATAGAATCATATGTGATTTTATGTCACAAGAACATCCACCTCAGACGGATATTATGTGACCTTCTCATCACATATAATATTTTGCCTTCTACTCTTTTCAAGGTTCATCCACATTGGAGCATATTTATTGCTGGTTAATATGCCATTGTTGGGCTATTCCCTATTTTGTTTATTCATTTCACCAGTTGACTGGACATTTGTGTTGTTTCCAGTTTTTGGCTATTGTGAATAACAGTGCTATAAACACTCACATACGTCTTTGTATGGATGCATGTTTTCATTTATCCTTAGTATTTACATAGTGGAACTGCTGAGTCAAATGGCAACTGTTTAAACTTTTTTTTTAAAGATTTTATTTATTTATCAAATAAATAAATATTTATTAGATAAATAAATTTCTCTCTCTCTGAGAGAGAATGAGAGATAGAGAGCACAAGAGGGAAGAGGGTCAGAGGGAGAAGCTGACTCCCCGCTGAGCAGGGAGCCCAATGCAGGACTCGATCCCGGGACTCCAGGATCATGACCTGAGCCAAAGGCAGTCGCCTAACCAACTGAGCCACCCAGGCACCCTGAACTTTTTTTTTTTTTAAGATTTTATTTATTTATTCATGAGAGAGAGAAAGAGAGAGAGAGAGAGGCAGAGGGAGAAGCAGTCTCCCCGCGGAGCAGGGAGCCTGATGTGGGACTTGATCCCAGGACTCTGGGATCATGTCTTGAGTTGAAGGCAGACGCTAACTGTTTAAACTTTTGAGGAACTGCCAGACTACTTTCCAAAACAGCTGCACCATTTTACATTCCTATGAGCAGTATATGAGTTCCCAATTTCTCCATATCCTTGATAACCCTGGGTATCTTCTTTTTCCTTATACCCATCCTAGTGGGTATGAAAGGATTCTCATTGTGGTTTTGATTTGCATTTCCCTGCTGTTAGCAACTTTTCATGTGCTTATTGGCCATTAGTATGTCTTTTCTGGAGAAATGTCTATTCAGACCCCTTTTCCAGTTATTAAGCATTAAGCGGGTTGTCTTTTTATTACTGATTTGTACCGGTTCTTTATATATTCTGTATACAAATCCCTTATCAGATATGTGATTTGCAGTACTAATCTCAACATTTTTTAATAAGATTGTTGTTTAGAAAAAGTTGGTTTTTCAGTTACTGGATATAAAGGTAAACTAGTGGGACGCCTGGGTCTCTCAGTTGGTTAAGCCTCTGCCTTCAGCTCAGGTCATGATCTCAGGGTCCTGGGATCTGAGTCCGGCATCAGGCTCCCTGCTCAGTGGGGAACTTGCTTCTCACTCTGCCTGCCACTCCCCCTGCTTGTGCTTTCTCTCTGACAAATAAATAAAATCTTTTTTTTTTTAAGATTTTATTTATTTATTTGAGAGAGAGGGAATGAGAGACAGAGAGCACGAGAGGGAAGAGGGTCAGAGGGAGAAGCAGACTCCCTGCTGAGCAGGGACCCCCGATGCGGGACTCGATCCCGGGACTCCAGGATCATGACCTGAGCCGAAGGCAGTTGCTTAACCAACTGAGCCACCCAGGCGCCCTAAATAAATAAAATCTTTTTTAAAAAAAGTAAACTAGTAATTTCTGAAAGCCCCCAAAATGAAAAACAAAAATCAAAAAAGTCCCCCAAATTCCCAAGCCTAGAAGGAAAGAGCTTAAAAATTTTTTTTTCAGGCGCCTGGGTGGCTCAGTTGGTTAAGCGACTGCCTTGGGCTCAGGTCATGATCCTGGAGTCCCGGGATCAAGTCCCGCATCGGGCTTCCTGCTCAGCAGGGAGTCTGCTTCTCCCTCTGACCCTCCCCCCTCTCATGTGCGCTGGCTCTCTCAAATAAATAAGTGAATAAAATCTTAAAAAAAAAATTTTTTTTTTTTTTCAAGGAGGGATGCCTGGGTGGCTCAGTCGGTTTAAGTGTCTGCCTTTGGTTCGGGTCATGATCCCAGGGTCCTGGGATTGAGTCCCACGTCAGACTCCCTGCTCAGTGGGAAGTCTGCTTCTCCCTGTCCCTCTGCCTGCCGCTTTGCCTGCTTCTGCACTCTCTCTCACTCTGTCAAATAAATAAATAAATCTTAAAAAAATCAATCCAGATTTGGGAACTATTATACCTTAAATTATAACAGAACAAAGGCGTGACTCTTCTGAGTAGGCAAACCACTTCCTCCATCATGGGCAAGAACGTTAACATGTTAGAGCTTGACTAAGAAACTAGGAAGGGGTGAAGCTAACAGTCTGAACAGTGGAGAGAAGCATCAGGTTCACACCCACCAGCTCTGTTTTCAGTGAGGAATGGGACTTAGTCCAGGGTGTGCTGGTAATACATGTGTTTAAAAATAACAAGTCAGCAGGATGGTTAAGTTCCTTTTTTGGTTGAGTTCTTGGCAGCCAACTTTCAACCTTTCGGCTCCAGACAAGGAGACTTAGCAGTCAGTCCTTTTATGGATCAGTTGATATTATTTATTGCTTTTCCTTTTAAGATATTTCCAAAGACACCCAATGATCTGGTCCATTCACTTCCTTTTACCACCTTGGTATTTCCATTGGCAACAGGAACACAGAAGAACCAAGGGTCAGGAATGACCACCTCCCCCGCCCCCCACCCTGTGCACCGTGTCCCTCAGGGAGCTAAGAGAAACAAGAGCTCAGTTTCTTCTTTCCCCCGAAGTGTTAAAACACTGTGGATGGGCTCTGGGCCTGAGTCCTGTTCCACTGTCTGTCTGGTCAGAAGCCGGCCCATCTTGAATGGTTCCTAGCACTAAGCACAAGGGGCCAGAATAACCTTGGGAGGACTGATGCTAAGCAGATGCCCCAGCTAGATGTCTGCTGACAGCACATGACTTCGTGTTAAATGTTGCACACTGGCAAACTACTGTTTGCATCTTGCTTGCAAATAATTTTAAAACAACTGAATTAGTTGCCAACTTTTAAGCGTCAACAGACCTCCCATAAAAACCAGGATTTCCATTTTATTTAAAAAAACTTAAGACCTGGGGCACCTGCATGGCTCAGTTGGTTAAGCGTCTGCCTTCAGCTCAGGTCATGATCTCTGGGTCCTGGGACTGAGTCCCGCATCGGGCTCCCTGCTCAGTGGGGAGCCTGCTTCTTCCTGTCTGCCACTCCTCCCTGTCAAATAAATAAAATCATAAAAACCAAAAAAACCACAACTTAAGAACTTGCAACCCTAAACTTTCTTTTGGTGCTGTCACTTCCCTACCACTCAACACTGAGGATGAAGGCTGCTCACCAGTCATGATCTATTTCACATCCCTTTTTCACTTTACATTCACTGTTTGCTTCTATTACCTACTTGGCTCCTGTAGACACCTCAAGCCGTAACTGCCCCTCCGTTTCTTCATCCCTGCTTTAGCTACAGTTTCCTTAGAGGTAATCCACTTGTCCGCCAGAGTCCAAAGGATTATACCCACATTTTCAACATTGCTGGACTGGACAAGCCGAATGGCAAGACAAAGATGAAGACGTGGCTTTTGTTTACATTCGGAACAGCTCACACGCCTACTGGCTTATGGGCAGTTGAACAGGCCTGCAGGCTTCTGGGACATACGGCCACTCCTACCCTTTCCTCCCATTAAAGAACATAACATAGTAGACAGTGGTGGGGTCTATGGTAACTTTATTTTAACAGAGAAACCAGGCAGCCAAGCAGTCTACATGATTGGAGTAGATGGTGGCTATCTTTCCAAAGGGTGAAGCCTGAGCCCAGCTGGCAGCACACAGAGGTTAAAACCGAAGCGCAGAGGTCCGCTTGCCTGGTTCTGCCCTGCATCGCCTGCTCATGGTGTGAGATGAGAGACCGCACAACCGGACTGAATGAACGGGTCCAACCGGGCAGAGGCGACATCCCGACAGCAGACAATCAATCACTGAAGACGATGCTGAACTCAAGTGCCGTTACCTACTCTCTGCTATTCTCTGATGAGAAAGGTGAGGGTACGGGAGGAGCAGGAAATTATCTTCTTGGTTCTTTAAATAAGGAAAGCCTAGAGCATGGGGCAGGTGGTCAATCAAGCAGTAGCACAGGATGAAAATGTAGGCTAGTTATAGATCTCTGTGCCTAAGGAAAAGAACAGCAATGATAAGGGAAAAGAGAGGAACATTAAAATGCCTGAAAGTATTGAAAAGAAGAACCTTTTTTTCCCTTAAGACAGGAAACAGCATCTTTTTATTTTCCTCACTGCAGTGGCAGCAGACTTGCTGGTTTTCA